GCTGCAAGGTGGCTGAGAGTGAGGGCTGAGAAATGACATCAGAGGCTTCGAGGAAGGAGGCTCGATGAGTTAACCCCTGTAAAGCCCTGTGAAGAGGGGCTGCCACAGACAACCGCCACGTGGGCATTCCTTTACATCATCCCAATGGCTATGATGATTCGTTGAAGAATAGGATTTTTGAATAGTGCCTAATTCAATGCTGCAGACCAAACAGATGCTGTAACACAGAACTATCTGGACAATCTGCTCTGAGCGCTTTAAAGCAGAAGAGAGGATGGTTGCTTCTTTATGAATAATTACTAATGCTCACTCATTCATTGCAGGCCGTGGCAGCTGGTCTTTTCCTGAGAGGTTCCATCCCCCATGCATGCTCTTCCTACAGTGAGGGCAGCCTCCTTCTATCTTGTGGTGGGACCCGTGTGCCCATTGCTGGACCCCAGGCAGCCTTTGCGCTGCCTCACCCAATAGGGTACAGAAGATGCAATGTGATGTGACCTCCAAGGCCAGCCACAAAAATGCCAGGTGCATATTTCTACCTCATTCTCCTGGAGCTGCCTGGGTACCCAGCAGCTGTGCTGGTTCTCCTGGACCTCCCTACGTGCCCAGTGGCTGTGCTGGGGGAAGCCAGGCAGTCACACAGAGAAGCCACGTGAAGGTCTCGTGCCAGCACCCACAGTGGTGGTGCCAGGTGCCAGCCAGCATCAGCGGCCAAGGGTGGGATGAGGCTTCAGGTGAGCCCAAAGCCTGCAGTCAGGCCCTCTCCACCGTCAAGCCACTCCAGCTGATGCTTTATGGAGCTGAAAGAAACTGTGCCTTCTGAGTTCTACTACAACTGCAGATTGGTAATTAAAATAAACGATTACTGCTGTTTGAGCACCAGGTGTGGAATGACTTGTTATGCATTACAGGTACGGAATCGCTTACAGGGCCTGGAGGAGGTGTCGGCATGTGCAAAACCTAACACACCTGACTAGCTCTGAGGCCAGCCGCTGAGGGGAAGCAAAGTGTGGCCAGACCTGAGAGTGTCTGTGGACACACAAGGGGCGAGGCTGACAGCAAGGGCTGAGAGGGAGGAAAGGGAAATGCTAACAGCGGCTTGGGGACACAAGACCATTGTCGTGTCCTGGCAGAAAGCCTGGTACCACTGTGGCTTCGTGGGAAATTAGAAATCACCTTCATAAACTCAGTGAGCTACCTACCAAGTTTCCAGACAGAATATTCAAAACACCTCCTGGCTGCTTCTGGTGGCCAAGGAAAAAAGGCAGAGTGGCAAGACACGTGAAAGGCTGGGCTGGTAAACAAAAGAGGACCAGGGCTGTCTGTGTTTGAAAATAAAAACGCTTCTCCTTGTCTGCCCCTCCCGCTGGTAAACAATAAATGGCTTTCAGGGTTTCATTTCCAAGACAGACAAAGAAACTCCCAACAAACCATCTTCTCACAAGAAGTAACCAAATGCTGAGTGAAACGCAAAATCACAATGGCCCGAAGGCTGTGGGAGCGAACACACACAGGCAGGTACTGGACGGGACTTGGAGTGAGCAGGCGGTGCGTGTTGATGTGGGGTGGGTCTGCGTCCCCACCCAAATCTCACCTTCAACTGTCATCCCCAGTGTTGGAGGCGGGGCCTGGTGGGAGGTGACTGGATGGGGAGGGCAGAGTTCTCATGAATGCTGTAACACCCTCCGCACTTGATACTGCATGGTGAGTGGGTTCTCGGGAGACCTGGTTGTTTAGAAATGTGTGGCACCTCCTCAGCGATCTCTCTTGCTCCTGCTCTGCACGTGGAAGACGTGCCTCCTTCTCCTTTGCCTTCCACCATGACTGTAAGTTTCCTGAGGCCTCCCCAGAAGCCAAGCAGACGCCAGCACCATGCTTCCTGTACAGGCTGCAGAAACGTGAGCCAATGAAACCTCTTTTCTTTGTAAATTCCCCAGTCTCAGATCTTTCTTTACAGTAGTGCGAGAACAGCCTCATACAAGTGTGAGGTGAGTTTCGTGTTTCTCCGGCTTGTCCAGAGGGCTTACGGTCAAGGAGCAGAGTATGACCACTAGGGCTCTGGTGGGAAAACCTGCCACCCTTCTGGCGGGAGGAAGCACAGGAAGGAGCCCTGAGTCAGCAAGCTGGTGGAGAGTGAGTGGAAACCCAGAAAATGCGAAAGCCAAGAAGGGACACTGAAAACCCCCCATTCCGTATAAAAACTCTGCCCAGGACTCCAGCTGGACCCTGAAGCATGCACGTGAAACTGACGAGAAGCAGCTTAAAGTGAGATTTGGGGTCCCACTGTGACAGTTAATTGTATGCATCCACTTGACTGGGTTATGGGGTACCCAAGTCTCTGGCTAAACATGATTTCTGGGTGTGCTTGTGGGGGTTTCTGGAGGAGATCAAGCTGGAGAAACGTGAAACTTGGCCCACACTTGTATGAGGCCATTCTCACACTGTTATAATAAGTGAACTCAGCAAAGCCAGCGGCCCTCCCCATGCCAGTGGGCATCATCCAACCCTTCAAGGGTCTAAAGATAAAAAGGGAGGAGGGGGGAGAATGCCCTCTCTCTGCCTGAATGCTGGAGCTGAGACACTCGGCCTGGGGTTTATACCATGGGCTCTCCGGGGTCTCTAGCTTGCAGGTGGCAGATCCTTGGAGCTTCTCAGGTTCCACGGCCATGTGAGCCAGTCCTCTTCCTGAATCTCTTTCCCTCTACAGACCCCATCGGTTCTGTTTCTCTGGAGAACCCTGACTCACACACCTGCCAACTACTGACATGACAGCATTTGCAGTTTTGCTCTAACTAAGTAAATTGGCTGTTAAAACAAAAATGTCAACCCTCTTCAGAGCAATATAACAGAATCCAGAATCTCACAACATAGAAGTGATAGCCTTCAAAATTATTCAACATTTGAATGTTGAAGTCAGGAAGAGGTGACTCTTTTTATTTGTTTTGCTTTTTGAGATGGCATCTTGCTCTGTCACCAGGCTGGAGTGCAGTGGCACCACCTAGGCTCACTGCAACCTCTGCCTCCTGGGTTCCAGCAATTCTCCTGCCTCAGCCTCCAGAGTAGCTGGGAATACAGCATGTTTTACCACACCCGGCTAATTTTTGTATTTTTAGTAGAGATGGAGTTTCACCATGCCATGTTGACCAGGCTGATCTCAAACCCCAGACCTCATGATCCACCTGCCTTGGGCTCCCAAAGTGCTGGGATTACAGGTGTGAGCCACCACGCCCGGCTGATGTGACTCGTTTATGAGGAAAAATACTCCAAGATGAATCTCAGGATGAACTGAATGTTGGAATTACTAGACAAGAACAGCTATTTTTAACTACACTCAGTGTTGAAAAGGAAAACATTCTCATAGCAAATGGGAACAAAAAAAATTGTAGCAGAGATACAGAATGTGCAAAAAGTATCCAATGGAAATGTTAGAACTCAAAAATAAAGCAGAAGAAAAAACTGTGCCTGACAGAGTCAACAGCAGGTTGGAGGTGACAGAGGGGAGAGCCTGTGCCCTTGAATGTAGAACTGTCTTGCTGTAGAACTGTGGTAGTCATCCAGTCCAAAGGAGAGAGGGAGAAGAGGCTAGAAGGACGAATCACACCTCAGAAACTTATTTTTGGAAAATCTCACAAACAAGTATTGGAATCACAAAAGGAGAGGAGAGATTATGGGAAAGGAAAAAAAATGGGGGAAAAATGTCTCCAAACTCATGAGACTGGGGGAAAGGATAAATTTATGATTCAAGAAGCACAAGGAATTCCAAGCAGGATATGTTTGCAGAAACTCACATCTAGGCACAGCGGCAAGTGGCTTGTACCCAAGATAAAGAGAAAACACTGAAAGATGGAAGAGAAAAAGGAGAGGAGAACAACCACACAAATGACCTCCGCCTTCTCATCCGAAATCAGGGACGTAAGAAAAGAGCCTTCTCAACCCAGAACTCCATATCCTGTTAAATATTCGTCAACAACGAACAGTAAAGGCATTTCCAGTGAGGGGAAAACTAAAATAGCATTTTCTCAGGAGACTTTGCCGGCAAGAAATGCGGAAGAAACTTCCTCTGCAGACAGAAAACAACGTGAGCTGGAAATCTCGGTCTTCAGAAACAAAAGAAGAGCAACAGGAATAGGGAACAGAGGTAAACAGAAAAAGACTGTTTCTCCCTTAATTTTGTTAAAGCACATATGACCCCAGTGCTTTAACTAACTTAAAACACTGGGGTCTTATGTATTAAAGCACATAAGACCCAGTACACTTTTTGTTAAAAAAAAAAAGAAATGAAAAGGCATTAAAAAGCATACTGGGTCTTATGGGGTTTGCAATGTTTATGAAATTACTCATTTGATTATTATCATATAAGGATAAGGGTGTGGAAGTCTCCACAGGATTGTTAAGTGGTACAATATTAGCCAGACTGAAAAATAAAGGAATGTGTGTGTATCAGTCCATTTTCACGCTGCTGATAAAGACATACCTGAGACCGGGTAATTTACAAAAGAAAGAGGTTTAATGACTCACAGTTCCACATGGCTGGAGAGGCCTCACAATCAGGGCAGAAGGCAAGGAGAAACAAATAGCATCTTACATACATGGCAGCAGGCAAAAAACAGAGCTTGTGCAGGAAAACTCCCCTTTATGCAAACCATCAGATCCCGTGAAACTTACTGTCACAAGAACAGCATGGGAAAGACCTGGCCCATGATTCAATCACCTCCTACCAGGTCCCTTCCGCAACACGTGGGAATGCAAGACGAGATTTGGGTGGGGACACAGCCACGCCATGTCGTGTATCATAATCCTTAGCATAACCACTGAAAGAATAAAGCAAAAACGTATCACGAAAAGTCAACAGGTAAAGTATAATGAAATTCCAAAAAGTAATCAAATAATCCAAAAGAAGGTAGGAAAGTGGGAGAGAGACACACACAAAAATAAAAATAGAGAAAAAACAAAACAAGTAGTAAGACAGTAGTCCAGGTGATTGTTAAAAAATTAAAAAAGCAAGCTTCGTGCAGCGGCAGTATCATAGCCAACGAGGTTTATCCGAGGCTTGATTATTGCTAATTGAAAACTTTTCCCAATACCCTGCCATGATGACTTGAAATGTAGTTGGCATTGGCAATTTTTGACAGTTTCTATGGAGTCTGAATTATAAAAATAAAGAAAAGAGAAAAAAAGAAAAATAAATAAAAAAGCGAGGTCCAGCTACATACTCTCTATAAGAGAAGCATTTCAAATACAAAGGCAATGGTTGAAAGCAAATGGATGAAAAACCATATGCCTTGCAAACAGTAAGACCACGAAGTAAAAACAGCTTCATTAATGTCAGATAAAATAGACAAAGAATGTTATCAAAGATAAAGACAGAAATTTCACAGATATCAAAGGGTTAATTTATTGGGAAGACAACATAATTGGAAATGTGCGTGCATCTAATAACGGAGCTTCAAAATACATGAAACAAACATTACAAAACTAAAGGAAGATTCCATGATTGTCGTAAGAGATGTTGGCACCCCTCAGAAGAACTGGAGGAAAAAGTCAACGGAACACTGAGGAGCTTGTTCTGAGTTGGTAATGAACAATACTATCAGTTGTATTGATATAATTGATATGTATTGAGCACTACACCCACAACCAAAAGACAGACATTTTTTTTTAAGTACACATGGTCTGCTCAGCAAGACAGGTCATTTCTGAGCCATAAAACAAATATAACACATTTTAAAGACTTGAAATCATACAAAGCATGTTCTCTAACTGCAATGGAATTAACTTAGAAATAAATAACAATAAGATATCTGGGAAACTCCCAAACATATGGGTGTCAGCAACATACTTCTAGATAATTCATGGTCAAAGAAGAAATCACAAGGGAAATTAGAAGATAGTTCAAAAAATGATCATGAAAGTATGACGTATGAATTTAGGGGATTTAGTTAAAGCAGCGCATAGAGGGAAATTTATAGCTTTAAAATGTTTGCATCTGAAATGAATAAAGATTTAAAATCAAAATCTAAAGTTCTCTCTCTCTCTCTCTCAAGAACTAAGAGAAGAGCAAAATCAGTCTAGGGAAGTAGAAGGAAGAAAATAATAACAATATGAAAGGAAATCAAGGAAATAGGAAACTAATCAAAAATAGAGAAAATTAACAAAGCTAAAAATTTATTCTTCGACAAGATTAAACAAATGGCAAAGCCCTAAACTTACGCAGAAAAAAATGAGGAAGAACATAAATTGTCAATATCAGGAATAAAAGAAGGAATGTTATTTCAGATCTTATAGATGTTAAAAACATGAGGAGATATTATGAATAAATATTTGCAAACAAACTCAATGACATTAGAATATAAGAGAATATCATGAACAACTTTAGGGCAACAAATGTGGCAACTTTGATAAAAAGGGAAATGCCTTGAAAAAGGCAACCTACCAAAATTTACATTATGTGAAAGAGAAAAACTGAATATCTGTATAGCTATTTTAAAAATATTTTTTAAAAAAAGAAAAACAAATCTCACCAAGAAAATTTCAGGCCTGGATGGTTTCACTCCTGAATTCTGAGAACATTTCAAGAAGATATAACACTGAATATATATAAACCCTTTCAGAAAGAAGAGAAGAGAAAATGTCCCACCTTGCCTTATGAGGCTAGTGCAATCCTGATACCAAAACAAAGACATCACAAGAAAAAAAAAATACTATAAGCCAATACTCCTTACAAACATAGACGCAAAAATCCTTAACAAAATATTAGCCACTCAGGAAATCTAACAACATATACAAGTAACAATACATTATGAACAGTAGATTTTGTCTCAAAATGCAAGGTTGGTTTAACATTTGAAACTCAATCAGTGTCACTCACCATATTAACAGAATAAAAGAAGGGAGAGAATCATGCAATCATTTCAATAGATACAGAAAATCATTAGACAAAGATGAAATATCCAATCATAAACTCCCAGAGAAAGAAGAATAAGGGTAGACTAAAGGATCGCTTTATAAAGAGTACCCTTTATAGAGAATAAACAGTAGCTATGTAAAATCTGTAGCTAGTTATCACACTTAATGGTGTTGAATGCCTTCCCTATAAGACTTTTAACAAGACAAGTGTTCTTGCTCTCAACACCTCTATTCAAACATTTACTTGAAATTCTAGTCATTGCAAAAGGAAGACAAGGAAATGAAAGCATACGGATTTGATAAGAAATAAAACAGTTCCTATTTGTGGTAAAATAATTGCTTGTATAAAAAATGCTAAGAAGTCTATAAACCAATTACTGGAATTAATAAGTGCATGTAGTAAAGTTGCAAGATACAAGATATGGAAATCAGTCACAGTTTATATCCTAAGAGCAAACCATTAGAAAGTGAAATTTTAAAAATTACTCTTACAATAGCACCACAACCCACAAAAGGAATGAATCTGACAAAAAAAGTGTAACTCTCCTCACGGAAAACCATGGAACACTGCTGAGAGAAACTGACCTAAGTCAATAGAAGACAGGCCCTATCTGTGTATGAGAAAACCCCAGCATTGTCCAAAGGTCAGTCCTTTCTAACTTGATCTGTAGATTCAGTGCAACCCAAGCAAGTTTTCAGCAGGCATTCTGGAGAAATCGACAGCATGATTTAAAAACTTACATGAAAATGGTAATGACTCAGAACAGCCAAGGCAATTTTCAAACAGAACAAAATTGCAAGGGTTATGGGGTCGTCAAAAGTTGGTTAAGGGATGTAGACGGACAGCTCGGAAGGAGGAGTGAGTTCAGGGCTCTATAGCACCTAGGATGACTGTAATTAATTAACAACAATTTAAGAAATAGCTAGGAGAGTGGATTTCAAATGTTCCCAACACATAGAAATGACACATGTTTGCGGCGATGGGTATGCTAATCATCCTGAAATCAAATGATCATTACACACTGTGTACATGTATTAAAATCTCACACTGTTCCCCATAAGTATGGGCAATTATTATGTGTCAATTAAAAATAAGTATAAAAGCAATGAATAAATATGCATTTCCAGGCCCAGATCACTCCACTGGATTTGAATTGTGAGCAAAGGAACCTGGGGTCTACATTTTAATGACAGCTCTGTCATTCCTATCATTAAGCAAGTGGCAGAAACCCTTAGACTAATTCTACTTGGATCAAATGGGAAATGTCTTTGGTGCTAAATATAAATAATCTTGTAATTATGAGCTTTCCAAGTATAGTTCTACTTAAATCACATCATCAAATGGAGATACTCTATGTTTCATGTACATAATGCACAAAACAAGCAAAAGTAAGGTTAAAAATCCAGAGTGGTGAGCCCTCCAGGGTTAGGGGCTGGAAAGGGGCATGAAAAGCATTCTCAGGGGCTGGGAACATTCCTCTGTTTATTTAACTTGTGCTGGATTCATGGATGTGTTCAGTTTGCAAACATTCATCAGGTTATAGGTATATATACAAAGTGTGTGATATATAAACCCACATATATATACCATATATATATATATATATATATGACACACATATACATCAGTAAAAGCAGTTTTCAGAAAGATTTAAAGGTGGACGCTAACCTAAAAAGATTTAAAGGTAAAAGATAATTGAAAAATAAGCATAAATATAAATGTTAAAAGTAGCTCCACTAGATCAGCATTTTTACTAATATGAAGGATATACAACCCAAATACATGTGGACGTCAGATTATGTGCTTCACCCCTGAAAACATACAAGAACAAAGTGGAAGGCTTAAACTCATCATATTTTAAGATTTATTGTAAATGTATAATAAGCAAGACATGGTGGCTCACACTTGTAATCCCAGCACTTTGGGAGACTGAGGTGGGCGGATCACGAGGTCAAGAGATAGAGACCATCCTGGCCAACATGGTGAAACCCCATCTCTACTAAAAATACAAAAAATTAGCTGGACGTGGTGGTGCATGCCTGTAGTCCCAGCAACTAGGGAGGCTGAGGCAGGAGAATTGCTTGAAACCGGAAAATGGAAGTTGCAGTGAGCCGGGATCGCGCCACTGCACTCCATCCTGGCAATAGAGCAAGACTCTGTCTCACAAAAAAAAAAAAATAAAAAAAAAAAAAAAAAAAAAAAAAAAAAAAAAAAGCAAGACAGTGAGGATTTTGCAAAAGGTTACACATATAAATCACTGATACCTAACAGAGAGTGCAGAAATATTTTCACACATTTGTGAAGTTCGTGATTAACAAAAGTGCAATGACAATTCATGGGAAAAGAAAAGGTTTTTTTGACAAATGCTGGAATTATGGGGTACACTTATGAAGAGAAAATGGACATTGACCCTCACCTCACACCATATACAAAAGCAAAACTCAAGTCATAGGTCAAAGTGCAAAAGCTAATACTAAACTTCTAGAAGAAAACAAAGGAGGAAATATTTGCAACTGTGGGGCACAGATTTCTTAGATTTGTTTCCAAAAACACAAACCACAAAATATAACTGTGAACTGTATCAAAATGGAAAACTCTTGCTCTTTGAAAGACACCATTAAGAAAACAAATAAACAAAACAAAGGGCAAGGCACAGAGTGGAAGTATTGAAAATACATCTATCTGACAAAAGACTTATACCCCGAATGTAGGAAGAACTTTTACAACTCACAGAGAAGGCAAAAATTTCTATTATAAAATGGGCAGAATAGCTGGACACATCACAAGAGCATACGCACAGGGCCAATATGCACACAAGAAGATGGCCGATATCTTTGGTCATTTGGGGCAAGGGTGGACCAGGGAACTGTGAAGCGACCGCTGGGGCCATCTACGCTAGGGCACACACTGGCTCTGGCCACTCCAACCGAAGCCTGGGTGTCACCCTGCGGCCACTCTCAGAGAGTCCCGGAGAGGAAGAGGGACTTGCAGAGGCAATGAACCTCAATGATGTCATTGACTCAGGGTCTCAACTAAGTGCAACTTAATCACAGGATGAGGCTGGCCCAGGAATAAGGGACTCGGGCATGAGGAGGATTCCCCACCTGGCATTTCAGCACCATCTGCCTTGTTTGTTGCCTCCCCCTCCCTCTCTCCCAATGCCCACGTGTCTCCCAGGATGCAGAGTCCCATGGTCCTGCCAAAGGAGGCATGCCCCCCACAAAGCGAAGCAGGCAG